GGACATTATCCGTGCTGCACGTGCATTTAGGTCCTGTCTGACCTTATGACTTGTTGACATTATCCGTGCTGCACGTGTATTTAGGTCCTGTCTGAGCTTATGACTGGCGGACATTATCCGTGCTGCACGTGTAATTAGGTCCGGTCTGAGCTTATTACTAGCAGACTTAATCCGTGCTGCACGTGTATTTAGGTCCTGTCTGAGTTCATGACTGGCAGACATTATCCGTGCTGCACGTGTATTTAGGTCCTGTCTGAGCTTATGACTGGCGGACATTATCCGTGATGCACGTGTATTTAGGTCCTGTCTGTTAACAGTAGTGTCAGTTAGTTACTATGGAGATGCATTATTGTTCTGCCTTGTAACATCGGCATCAATTGGTTACTATGGAAATGCAATTTTGTCCTGTCTGGTAACATCGGCGTCAGTTGGTTACCATGGAGATGCTATACTGTACTCTCTGGTAACATCGGCGTCAGTAAGTTACTATGGAGATGCACTACTGGTTTGTCTGGTAACATTCATGTTAGTGATTACATGAAAAAACGTTTAGTATACGGGTTGTATTTTATCTATATGTTCCTGTTCAAGCAAGACAGTGAAAAGTTCAGGATTAATCGAAATAACATTCCCAAAGCTCTTTTAATCATCTTGGTGCTGTTGTTGGTTGAAATACTTCCATTTAACACTTCCGTATAACCGAAAAGAAAAGGGACGTCATATATTACCGATCGATTTTTATGACGGGCGATCTGTCTGAGATGAGTAATGGTGATTAAATAAAAATCGAATTTCCTTAAGCCTGTCGTTAGGGATTAGGAGGGAAATACCGCCTCAGAAGTAAAACTATTCAGAAAAAAGAAGCAGATTTAGGTCCATTTCAAGGCCCCGTCCCACAAAGCGATCGTAGTACCAACACGATCGTAACTCTCATACTTTAACAAAGATTTACGACAGTCGTAGCGCTACGACGATCTCATTAAAATCATATCTTAGTTCTCGCTATAGCCTAACAAAGCGTCGAGGCACAGAGATACATTTATGCAACTGGATCCACGGATTATCTTGTGTTACTTTAGTTCCTTTAATATTTGAATAAATAAAATATTGAAATTTAAATTCAAAATTAAATGAAATACAATTTACTTGCATAACTTCAGTGTGTGGTCATAAATCATGTAAACTCTTATCTGGACATCTTTAAATTCAGTGCTCGAGGAATGTGGCTGTGAAGGTCTGTTTGAAGTAAGGACGCGGCAAACTTTGGGATATAGGACCATTGCTATTGATTTTCTTAGCTAAGCCAGGAGCTAAAAACTGGAGTGAGCGGTTATATCGTGAGTTAGTGAGTGAGTGAGTGAGTGAGAAGTGAGCGGTTGCATCATGAGTGAGTGAGTGAGAAGTGAGCGGTTGTATCATGAGTGAGTGAGTGAGTGAGTGAGAAGTGAGCGGTTGTATCATGAGTGAGTGAGTGAGAAGTGAGCGGTTGTATCATGAGTGAGTGAGTGAGTGAGAAGTGAGCGGTTGTATCATGAGTGAGTGAGTGAGTGAGTGAGTGAGTGAGTGAGAAGTGAGCGGTTGCATCATGAGCGAGTGAGTGAGTGAGAAGTGAGCGGTTGTATCATGAGTGAGTGAGTGAGTGAGTGAGTGAGTGAGAAGTGAGCGGTTGTATCATGAGTGAGTGAGTGAGTGAGAGACTGAGCATGAATGAGTGAGTGACTGTTTGCGATAATGAGTGAGTGGTTGTGATCATGATTGAGCAAGTCTTGGTCTGGACATACAACCCTTTCAGAATGAGTGAGAGACTTTCCTATCAGAGAGGTTACAAGAATTCATCCACAGATTATGTCAATACATTCTCGTGCAGATGGGTGAGAGAGTGAGTGAGTGAGAAGTGAGCGGTTGTATCATGAGTGAGTGAGTGAGTGAGAGACTGAGCATGAATGAGTGAGTGACGGTTTGTGATCATGAGTGAGTGGTTTTGATCATGATTGAGCAAGTCTTGGTCTGGACATACAACCCTTTCAGAATGAGTGAGAGACTTTCCTATCAGAGAGGTTACAAGAATTCACCCACAGATTATGTCAATACATTCTCTGGCAGATGGGTGAGTGAGTGAGTGAGTTGATGCGACGTTATTTCACGACGTGTCGTCGTAATGTGTGAGAAAAATCCAAATGAGATGGTTAGTATTTCGTCTGGTCATAAATGTTGCAGGATCGAAAAACCAACAATAGGCTTCAAACGTTATACCGGCCCAGTGGAATGCATCTTCCCGAGGCAAGAGAGTTAACTGACTATAAAAGTCCAGTTTCCACCCTTGCCGAACTAGGCTGGTATTATGGAGTTATATTTTGGCTGGACTAACGAGTCTATGCATAGTCCAATCAAAATTACGCTCCGAAATCGAAATCCAGTTCGTAAATTGCCATGCAGATTTCGATCGATTGCAGGATTTGTAATGCATGTGCAGCGCTAATTCGTTGTCAACAGATATTTTCTAAATCTTTGCATGTTTTTAATCAAGGTGCTCACGTGATTTGATGCACTTCGCAATGTAAGACTCGTTTTATCACAAGTTATGGATCTTGATTATCGATCAGATCGTCTTGACTGGGCGCCGCCGTTTTGTTTGAAGCAAATGCAAGTGATATGAGAGTTGGAATCTGATTGGTCTATAGGAGAGGCATAGAAGGGACATAACTCGTAACAGCCACTGGTGGCGCTACGATCGAGCCCTTTTTAAGTCAGTTACCTCTCTTGCCTCGGGAAGATGAATGGAATGCGTTTCATGGTACCCCGACGGACGTGACCCGTGAAGATCCAGGATAGAATAGGTCTTCAGCAACCCATGCTTGCCGTAAAAGGCAACTATGCTTGTCGTAAGAGGCGACTAACCGGATCGGGTGGTCAGGCTCGCTGACTTGGTTGATGCATGTCATCGATCCCAAATGCGTGGATCGATGCTCATGATATCAATCACTGGAATATCTGGTCCAGAGTCGATTATTTACAGACCGCCGTTATAAAGCTGAAATATTGCTGAGTGCGGCGTTAAACAACAAACCAACCAGCGAAAGTACATTTCACAATTAGATAACTAAAAAAAATGCCTGTTAACAATCTATAAACAGCTGGAGATGTCTGACCTTAGCCATGTCACGTCAGACAATCATCTCGGTATGGTTTATAAGGCAGTGGTACTGACTGGTATTGGGAATTTTCCCAAACACAGCAATTTGATTCTAGAATTAAAGACGACCTACGTGCAGTTAAAGGCGTGTTCGGTTCCGGCTATATGCGCACCATAGTTACGTCAATACACTGGCTGTGTGGGTGACAGTGGCTGTCAATACAATGACTGTGTGGTTGACAAAGGCTGTGTGGTTGACAAAGGCTGTATGGATGGCAAAGGCTGTATGGATGGCAAAGGCTGTATGGGTGACAATGGCTGTATGGGTGACAAAGGCTGTATGGGTGACAATGGCTGTATGGGTGACAATGGCTGTATGGGTGACAATGGCTGTATGGGTGACAATGGCTGTATGGGTGACAATGGCTGTATGGGTGACAATGGCTGTATGGGTGACAATGGCTGTATGGGTGACAATGGCTGTATGCAGCTCTTTCGAACATACGCAAACAACATAGAATTGTGTTGTACCCCATTGACCGATATTCCGAGTTCCCGCTAACGCCGACCCAGTCTCTCTTTCCCGGATGTTGTGCCCACGCTCGTCTGATATGGAATGACGCATTGTTTACAAATGTCGGCCACACAAATATACCTTGTTCTCATCACCGACCGATTCTGGAGTTTAATTAGGTTTTCTTACTGCTTACTTAATTATAGTTATTTTCCTTTCCGAAGTTGCACTTTTTGGTTTAACGCTTTCAGGCGACCAAATACGCCATTCGTAAACTTGAAAATCAGGTGGTGTTAGGCTTTCATTTGGTTAGATTTCTATTCCAATTTCTTCATACAGAGTTTTCAAAGTTTAAGATGCAGTTGTGATACGGTTGCTGTTTTAGATTTAGTTGCCATGGTAGCTTATGCTGATGCGTCATTCGTTATCATGACCCCCTAGGGATTCCGGGTAAGAATTGATCTCATGTAACCTATGGTTTTCGTAAAAATGCAACTAAATTGAGCGTATGGTCAGGTTCGGTGAGTTGATTGATTGAGTGTCATCGTACCCCGACGGCGTGTGACGCGGTTCATGATATCAACCACTGGTTTGGGTGGTCCAGAATCGATTATTTATCGGCCACCGTGATGTGCAATCCGTAAAACAACAAAGAAACAACAGTTTCCATGTCAACCATAATTGTCATAAAGATGTGTCATCGTATTCACACTGAAAGGATTGTAAACCGTTTACAGAACAGAAAAAAATGCAAAGAACGTCTCAAGAATGCAGTGCGTTTTATATTAGAGGCATGTTAATCTTCGTAAGAGGGATTAGAGTCAATATTTACATTACAAACAACACCCATCTGGACTGATAATCGCCTGATAAACTCCAGACTAGAGTTTGTGCAAAAGGATTTCGGAATGTCCAACCGCAGATATATAGATAAGATGCAAATGTAGCGTCCTAGCTTCGCCCATAACTGTGCCATGACGTCACAGGGGACAAGGATTTGCTTTTTATCTGTTGAATATTTTCGCACGCTGTTTATCTTAACTCTACGCCCTGGATTAACGAAGCCATGTTGCTTTTTGACGTCATGCATGAATTTGTTAAATTTGTTAAAAAATGTTTTAGAAGACCTGAATACCCCATGTAACGAACATAATCTCACAACCACAGGTAAACACTGATGAAATCGTAAGCAAAACTGTATCCGGTCTTATTAGCATAATAGGCCCCGCCCATTGTCAAACAGAAGAGCTCGTGAATATTCAGTACTACTTCCTGTTCGATCGTTCCGGTTTCCAGTGAGCAAGAAAGTCTGTCAAACCATACGACATTTAGACATGATCATGCTTCTTCCAGCGCCGGGCCGTGACGAGTCGAGACCTTCAATGTACATGCCATGGACCACCACAGTGCCGGTCCCCCCTCCCGTCACCCCCGCGCCGTACCACACACCCTTAGTGCCAACTAGCCTCGGTGAGTACCTTAATTCAGTCTCGGGTAAAACGAGATCTCGCGTTGTTTCATCTCATATCATATTTTCATATACATCATCTGTATTTTTGTCAGGGAGCAAAAACATTCTTTGAAATATTCATTTATTGTGATCCTACTTCTACAATTTGGTATGCAGGGTATTGGGGGCGCGGGGGGGGGGGGGGTGTTAGAAAATATCGCTTGGTTGTCATATTTGGTAAAATGAACTGTAAACAAATATTTGTTCTAGCTTTACAAGCAGCAGAAGCAGCAGAGGTAGCAGTAGTAGTAGAGGTAGTAGTAGTAGTAGTAGTAGTAGTAGTAGAGGTAGTAGTAGAAGTAGTATTTCAGTAGTAGTAGTAGTAGTAGTAGTAGTAGTAGTAGTAGTAGTAGTAGTAGTAGTAGTAGTAGTAGTTCATTACCATAAAAGAACATTTACATTTCTGAATAACATTAAATCAAGATCACAAAGTTGTTCGGGTTGAATTTTCTAAAAAGGTTAGATTCGGAGCGTTTGATTTAGAAACTTCTTAAGTCAGTATACAATGCTTATGAATCTTGTCTCTTAATTGTACATTGTTAAATGTCGGATTTATTATCAAGCAAAATCTCTCTATCTCTCTATCTATCTCTCCATCCATCCATTTATTTATTTATTTATTTATTTATTTATTTTCTCCAACGCATTTAGATATGTTCAGTGTCGCTTAGTTAACATTTAATATCCATACGGTATTTGGTCGTGGATAACCGTTGATAAATATATGGTATACTATATTTGTATTTGTTGTATTATCAAAAGCAACAATTTGATGCTATCGCAAATACTGCAATGAAATCATGATCAACAATCGCTGAGGGTCAAATAAGGTGAAACTACAGCAACATAGTAAACGTCCATTCATGTTACTCTGGATACTTGTGAATGAGACAACTCGCCGACCCCACCTGGGGTGGGGGCCCAACTGATAGCGAGTTTCACAATGGTCTCAGCGAGCAAGATGAATGCTGTTTTTGTTATGTTGCAGTTCAGCAATACAAATATTTGAGAAGTTTCACACGTGTCTCGGAAAATATAAGTCAAAAGCTTTAAGTTTCCTAAGTAGGGATGGATGGGTTATTTATATATGTCATTGTTTCATAAATCATGCATCTCGGTACCTTAAATGAAACTGTATTACAGATTTGTTTTTAGGGGAATTGTTTTTGTTCTGTTCTGTTTATGTATTTCATTTTGCTTGGGTTTTTTTGTTATTGTTTGTTTTGGTTGATTTTTGTGGTTTTTTTTGCTTTGTGTTTTTAAGGTTTTTTTTGTTTTTTGGGGGGGTTGTTGTTGGGGTTTTTTGTTGGGGTTTTTTGGGGGGGAGGGGTAGGTGTAGTTTTGATGTGTTTATTCCCTTTGTTAGTAGGATATGTTTTTGTTGTTTGTTTATTTTTTATTTGTTGGTATTTGGTAGGGTTGCTTCTTTCTCTAGTATCTGTGCGCCATGTCAGTAGCTGTACAAATAACAAGTTCACAACGTAAATGCCTACGGCTGATACAGTTTAGTTTTGTGGTACAGCTGAACTGTCGGGGGGCGGCCTGCGTTGCCATCGCTCATTGAAGTTCATGAAAATTTTAATTCCAAATTTATTTTATTTCAACGGATGACAAAATCCCGTTGTTGTCATATACATTTGAGTAAATATATATATATATAATATAAATAAAATAGAAATTGCATGTTTAAGAATTATTTCAGTATCGTTAAGCCACGACATCATCGACACTTGACAAACACAGTAATGTCCGCACTGATCTTCATAGTGTTGGGACGATGCCTTAGGTATGCAAATACCATCTTTTCCAAAGTAACAAATAAATTCGTCACGACAAACATTCTGGAAACGTAATTTCTCAAACAACGATACGATCCCGTGACTAAAAAAAGGAATCGAATTATTATATTATTGCAATAACGAACGCTTTTTAATGTTACTTACTTATTGAAAATAATTAAAAATGATTATTCTAACAATTTCTATTTTAGTATTCATGTCATTGTAACGTTCAGGTATTGAATATGTTGCAGTCAAATCATACAACCATTCAGTTTGTTTGTTGTTTAACGCGCATCAGCAATATTCCAGCCATATGACGGCGGTCTGTAAATTATTCAGTCTGAACCAGACCAGATTGGGTATTAATTAATGCAGCTGGAGACAATGACATGCATCAACCAAGTCAGCGAGACTGACCACCTGATCCCGTTAGTCGCCTCTCACGACAAACACAGGTTGCTGAAGTCCTCTTCAAACCCGGATCTTCACGGGGGCAACGGTTTGGTATCTAATATCTATATTGTTTTCGGACTTCGGGGCCTGGCCGTCCATGGCCCGATTTCACGACGTTTAAATTGATTGATTGTTCTTCAAACTTCTAAATGCATATCAAAGACTCGATTAGGCTGAAATGGATATATCAGGTGCATATTTAAAATTGTAAGTTTATTTGAAGAATATATGCTTTGGTGTTCAGTTTTGAGAGAAATATTATTCATATTATTAGATGACAAAATTGCCTCAGTGTTCTAAATATTTATGATTTTTACTGGCTTGTGGCAATTACTTATAAAAAGTAAGAGGCGACTAGAGGGATCGGGTGGTCAGGCTCGCTGACTTGGTTGATGCATGTCATCGTATCCCAATTGCGTGGGTCGATGCTCATGATGTCAGTCACTGGATTGTCTGGCCCAGACTCGATTATTTACAGACCACCGTCATGTAGCCGGAATATTGCTGAGTGCGGCTTTAAATAACAACACACAAAAATGTATGTAAGAAATGTTCAACAAGTATCATTGGTGTTGAATAACTCGATCTGACAATTGAACCTGCATATCTGCATAGTCCATGCAGTCGACAACAACAGCAGGTGAAGGATGTTTGCTCGTGGGCTGCTGTGCATGCCTCGAGTCAACGTGCAATACACGTAGAGCATGAACTCCACGTGCACCGCGTCACGTTCCATAGTAGTCACCTGTTCAGTGGAAATGGACTCTTCCGCTGCAGCGGAACGCCTTCTGTGCCAATACGCGGTCTCTCTCTCTCTCTCTCTCTCTCTCTCTCTCTCTCTCTCTCTCTCTCTCTCATAGTCTTCAGGTACAAATACAGTATATTATATACACTGTCGGACTTCTAGTGATCTCGGCATTAGCTATTACACAGATGAGGGAGGGGCATGGAATCCAAGTCGTCTGAGGCGCCGATGTGCACAGCTACGTTCCTTAATTAGGTGTATAAGAATCCCATAATCGAGAAATCGACTCCCATAAACTGATTTGTCAGGACCATACATGTACTCTCTCTCTCTCTCTCTCTCTCTCTCTCTCTCTCTCTCTCTCTCTCTCCGCCTCTCTCTCCTCTCTCCGTCTCTCTCTCCGTCTCTCTCTCCTCTCTCTCTCCTCTCCCTCTCCGTCTCTCTCTCCTCTCTCTCTCCGTCTCTCTCTCCGTCTCTCTCCTCTCTCCGTCTCTCTCTCTCCTCTCTCCGTCTCTCTCTCTCCTCTCTCTCTCCGTCTCTCTCTCCTCTCTCTCCGTCTCTCTCTCCTCTCTCTCTCTCTCTCTCTCTCTCTCTCTCTCTCTCTCTGTGTTGAAGTAATGGCAGTACAACCTATATTTCCGAACTAAGATTATGCCATACATGCCCGTGTCTGTTGTAGTCCAACCGCCTCACACATGGACCAAGAACGAGGTTCGAGTCTGGTTGGAGTGGTGTGCAGGGGAGTTCTCAATAGAGCCTGTCGCGCCAGACAAGTTCGACATGAACGGTAAGAGTGACTGTCAAAGAGTATCTGTTCCTGAAAATGTTCCTTTGTATTATTTTCTCTAGGGGAATTAAACCAATGGAACAGTTCTTTTTATGAAAATCTGCCACTACCGGGAGTTTTGTTCCCCCTCATTTCTCTAAGTGTATTTTTTTACCCATGAAGATCAGGGTAGAGAACAGTTCTTCAACAACTCATCCTTTTTGTAAGAGTGAGTTTGGCGCCACTTTTAACAGTATTCCAGTTATATCACGGCGTGTCAGCTTAATGTGGGAGGAAAGCCCGAAGTGATGCAGGTCTTAGACGTTTACAACTTTGGTGAAACTCACGTGCTGACAAACCTAGAAACATAACAGGGGCGAACTGGGATTCGCAATTACACGCTTCTGGCGTAGCCAAGAGACGCAACTCTGCACAGCGAAATGTGGCGCCTTAGACGACTAACTGGACCGGGTGGTCAGACTCGGTGACTTGGGAGATGTATGTCATCGTATCCCAGTTGCGTGGATCGATGTTAATGATATCAATCACTGGATTGTCTGGTCCAGACTCGATTATTTAAAGACCGCCGACATATAGTAGGAATATTCCTGAGTGCGGCGTTAAACAACAAACAAAACTGACCGCCGTCATATAGTTGGAATATTTCTGAGTGCGGCGTTAAACAACAAACAAACAAGCTAACAATTTTTTTAGGTCCGGTATAAATTTCCTCGTGGAAATGTTTTCCATCTCTAACCCTATCACTCACCTTGACCCTGACCTTGACCCTGACCTTGGCCCTGACCCTGACCCACGTGTATAAATGTGCTTATCTGAACCTTAAATACGTATGTTGATATCTTCGACTCACTGAAAATATGTTCCACAGGCATGTGCACAATCTCGAGATACATTTACATAGGCAAAACTTGTTCCGGGTCGATCATCGTTGACATGACCCCCACCCATGAAATTCCTGTCTTTCTAATGAGACCTCGAGCGAGCAGATTGAGGCGTTGTGTATTTTTTGTGTATTTGTTGTTTTACGGCACAGTCAGACAACTATTTGCCACAAAACCCTTTCCAAAGCCACAAGTCGATTGCACGATTCCGACTGTATCGTGAGCACGTATTTATGAATCACTATCAAATAGTGATGATACCAGGTGTTCGCGGAAAGGTGAGCAGATCCTGCCCCCTGGTGGTGCCTGTCACAAACACATGCAAAGGCAAGTCAGTTGTTCACACGAAAAAAAACATGGGAACATAGGGAACAAGTCGAAATAGGAATTGCATTTGACGTCATTTTTGTCACTGATGTGTCAAATTTGGAAATGTCCTCCACATGTCCTCCATAAAACCAGTGGTTGATAGTATGAACAACACTTCCCATGTTCAATCAAGTCACCAAGCCTGACTATCCGATCTACTTTGTCCTATGACATTGGTAAATGGGGACCAATTATAACCGGAGATGTTTATAAGCAATGATGCCATGGTTATTTCGTACAAATGTTCTCTGACATGTACCACGTGCTTGTCCTCAGAGCTGATTACAATGGGGATCGGGTGGTCAGTCCCCGTGGCTTACCTGACAGCGTGTCATATTGACCCAAATTGTTGTATCGTTACTCATTATATCGACCACTAGTCTGCCTGGTCCATATTCAGTTTTTTGCATGACGCCGTAATATGGTCTGAATATCATTGATTGCGGCATAAAGAACATTCTGCCATTGATGATGACGCATTCTCTTATCATTTGATATCTTTTGTATATGGACCACGACTTGAAAGTTTAAGGATTTCGCCGACTCAAACGCTTCAATCAAAAAATGATTAAATTTATTTTTATATCCCGATCTTTAATGGCCTGGGAACCTTTCTAAATGATAATTGATCAAAGAGTAATTGATTTCAGTCTCTGGCCACTAGAAATAATTATGAAAACGCAATCCTTTTCAGAAGCAAATACATACACGTGTCACGTCTCAAATACTGAACACCCTGAAAAAAATCGACCAACCAAACAATTCCATGCAAAATGCAAAATAGAATTGTTATTTTTAATTAAATTCCGACCTAACCAAAATTATGAGTAACACAAAATCTGAAACTCAAGTAAATGGGGTTGTTTTGTTTTGAAAAATAGGATATGTTCTGGTACAGTATACTCGTACGTACAGGTTGTGCCTACGGCAAACGGGTGCAATTAGATAAAGATTGTTGACCGGCACACCTTGATTTTATATTATACCCTAGCTTCTTGTAAACGATATCAACCATCATCCATCGTGATTTAGGGTATGTGCACAGGTCAACCCTACCCCGCATAATTGTGGGGACAGAAGAAGTGCACCTGTTTATTTCGGCACCACGCTAACCCACGCCCACGCCCTCACCCATCACTCGCTAGCCTGCGTCTGCTGTGGTAAACAACTCATTTGTAAAACAGTTTCTTTGTATGAAATGTGAAATGCATTGTAAATAATCCCACTTGACATTTGTACATACCCCTATGCTTGAATGTGATATCATGCAGTTTACAACCCCTTAAGGCACCAAACGTGATTGTGCATACATATTAGATAAGATGAGGGTTTGTTTCGTAAGAAAAAGTATTTTTTAACAGTTCCAGACTGACGGACATGTTGCCATACACGATCCTTCATCCTATGTCCCTACAGTCACACTGACCCCTGTTGTCCCTACAGTCACACTGACCCCCCCCCCCCCCCCCCCCCCCCGTCCGTCCCTATAGTCACACCGACCCCTGCTGTCTATCCCTACTTTCACACTGACCCCTGTTGTCTGTCCCTACAGTCAAACTGACCCCTGATGTCTGTCCCTACAGTCACACTGACCCCTGATGTCTGTCCCACAGTCAAACTTACCCCTGTTGTCTAACCCTACAGTCACACTGACCCATGTTGTCTGTCCCTACAGTCACACTGACCCCTGATGTCTGTTCCTACAGTCACACTGACCCCTGTTGTCTGTCCCTACAGTCATACTGACCCCTGTTGTCTGTCCCTACAGTCACACTGACCCCTGTTGTCTGTCCCTATAGTCAAACTGACCCCTGTTGTCTGTCCCTACAGTCACACTGACCCCTTTTGCCTGTCCCTACAGTCACAATGACCTCTGTTGTCTATCCCTACAGTCACACTGACCCCTGTTGCCTGTCCCTACATTTACACTGACCCATGTTGTCCCTACAGTCACACACTGACCCGTGTTCTCCCTTTAGTCACACACTGACCCCTATTTACGTGTTGCAGGAAAGGCTCTCGGTCTCTTGACCCGGGCTGACTTCATGGAGCGTGACCCCACATCGGGAGACCTCCTGTTTAATGCTCTACAAAGACTTATCAGCAAACACGAAAGTAAGTATGCCTAGTTTACAGTCCTCACGGTGCAGTGGTGTTCTACCTTATGCTGACAATATGACCAGAACTGTATCAAATAATCATGCATTTATATAGCGCTTCCAACTTGGACAGATGCTCAGCGCTGCAAACAGTATTTTTGTAAGAAAGGTTTGTTTATTTGCTTTTTTGTTGTTTTACGCCGCACTCAGCAATATTCCAGCTATATGACGGCGGTCTGTAAATAACCGAGTCTGGACCAGACGATCCAGTGACTGACATCATGAGCACCGATCTACGCAATTGGGATACGATGACATGCATCAACCAAGTCAGCGAGCCTGACCACCCGATCCCGTTAGTCGCCTCTTACGGCAAGCATGGGCTGGTGAAGACCTATTCTACCCCGGATCTTCACGGGTCCTTTTTTAAGGAACCTTCCTGACCTGGGCAAACAGCGATCTTAGCGTACGTCGAGCGTAACTCCAATACCTTAACACGTGCGAGCTTACTTACGAGAACCTCAGAGCTATGGTCACGTTGGCCCCAGATCATAAAACTTGAAACGTACTGATTCCCTTGTTACGTCTTCTCACTGGCGCCCTTCTTACCCTAGGGTTACTGGTTTTGTTTCAAACCAATGAGGGGCGGTCGGGTAGCCTAGTGGTTAAAGCGTTCGCTCGTCACGCCGAAGACCCGGGTTCGCTTCCCGACATGGGTACAATGTGTGAAGCCCATTTCTGGTGTCCCCCGCCGTGATATTGCTGGAATATTGCTAAAAGCGGCGTAAAACCATACTCACTCACTCACTCACTCACTCACTCACTCACTCAAACCAATGACTGATAGAGTGAACACTTGCTTTGACGTTCTGTGGCTTCGTTCTTCAGACTTAACTAGGAGTAGCCTATACGCTGTCAAAGTTCTTTCATATTCATTATCAGGGGTCTGTTCTGCCCAAACCTCCGCGCAAACCTCTCAGACAACCTCCGCGCAAACCTCTCAGACAACCTCCGCGCAAACCTCTCAGACAACCTCCGCGCAAACCTCTCAGACAACCGCCGCCGGAAAATATTCTCTCCAAGAAAGATCATGCGTTATTCGAAAATAACAGATACAGAAATACAAAGAGGTATCGAATGAAGAAGGAAGGACTAGGTGTAACATGACAATGAACAGAACATATTGGCGGTGTATTGTAAGGGTGTAAATAACCAAGAAAGACAACAGGGGTTTGGGTTAAACAATGAACGTTTGAGATGCCTTGATCATTAACGGGTACTGTCCCCTCGATTGGTCAAACATTCGTTTATACGGCATGACATGGTCGGAATCAATTCAACGACAATTTGAGGCAGTCATACCCACTCCTCTTGCGTCGCCTTGGCCAGTTCGGCTAACGTAGCGGGTGGCCTTTACTGTCGACTAACAAGTCTTTCAATAATGTCCGAACGGTTCTCTATGGGGGAAGGGTCAAGTATCATGGCTGGCCATTGCATTATGGAGACGTTTTACTGCTGGAGGTACTCATTCGCGGTGTACAGGACGCATTCCCAATCGGATCACAAAGACTGCATAGAAGCAAGAGAGAGCTAAGTGTTACCGTTGATTATGAAAACCAACAATACAAATGGCCCGGAGCGATCTGACGACCTTTCAGTGAAATGTCAAAATCAAGAATGATACCCTAACCACGTGCATGGAGGAATTACATGGTCCACATGCCATGTTCGGATGTCTCGGGGCGTTAGGTATTGGTTCCGACCCGTGAAGATCCCGCGTAGAATAGGTCTTCAGCAACCAATGTTTGCCATAAAAGGTGACTGTGCTTGTCGTAAGAGACGACTAACGGGATCGGGTGGTCTGACTTGGTTGATGCATGTCATCGTATCTCGATTGCGTGGATCGATGCTCATGATGTCAATCACTGGATTGTCTGATCCAGACTCGATTAGGGGGCACGGGTGGCCCAGTCGTCTAAAGCGCCGCAATTCGCCGTGCAGAGTTGCGTCCCTTTGGCACGCCAGAAACCTAATGGGTTTGTTCGAATCCCGATTCGCCCCGATTATGTTTCTAGGTTTGTCAGCTCCATACCCGTGCTCGTGGGTTTCGCCGAAGTGGTAAACGTCTGAGACCAGCATCACTTCGTGCGTTCCTCCCACATTAAGCTGACACGCCGCGACATTGCTGGAATACTGTTAAAAGCGGCGTTAAACCCAACTCACTCACTCACTCAGACTCGATTATTTACAGATCGCGTCATATAGCTGGAATATTGCTGAGTGCGGCGTTAAAAACAAACAAAGGTACTGGTTCCGAAATCTCTGGCAGTCATTTTTTCAAAGCTGATCTTTAAAAAAAAAATTCATTCAGCCCCATATACACTGGTGGTATTAAGAAAGTTCCTATCGACCAGGAAGCATATTTACAGTGACATAGAAGTGCACAAGCAGTTTGCCGTGATGACATCGCGTGAAGATTAGAATATGTAACCAATCAGGAAGTGTACCAGAATACATTAAGTTCAGTCCACTTACGAAAAAAAACAAGATTGTGTCTGTCCCCATCATCCCTCAGCCATCAAGCCAAATCAATATTTCAATCTATGAATTATTTAAGGAAATCATAAGGATGCCTCGAGCATTACATGAAGGAAATTCATGACACGTATCATTATGTCAGTTCCTGCAATAGAGTCGACGTTGCTTCCTTCGTGTGAATATGTGACAGGTCACAGATAGGGAAACGATGGGTTAATAGCTGGCATTCGTCAATTTGAGTGGCACATTTGAACCAATCAGCATCGCTTCCTTATCGCTAGTTCCGGCGAAACGAGAAGGATGATTAAATTGGGCGTCCGTGCAATCGTACTTCAATCACCGCAGCAACGTGCATTGTTTATCGGTATGTAAGAGGTATAGGAAATATATATGGTTTTGTTTGAACAATGAAGTAGCTTCCTCGAAACAAGACAGATCATTCCTTCCTCTATCGGTTTTTTATCACTCAGTTATTTCCCTCCGCCTAGAACTTTAAAGAATCTTTCCCGGTTCCGATTTTAGTTCCCCAGGAAGAAAAGTTCAAGGGGTTATGGTGTTGACGTTCCGTCAATCTGTCTGTTAACTTTGTGATTTGCGAAGGATAATCCCGGCTATTGTTACCCGTGATGATCCGGGTGGAATAGTTCTTCAGCAACCCATGCTTGTCCTAAGAAGCGACTAACGGGATCGGGTGATCAGGCTCGGTGATTTGGTTATTGCACGTCATCGGATCCCAATTGCGTAGATCGTCATGATGGTCATGATGTCAATCACTGGATCGTCTGGTCCAGACTCGATTATTTACGGACCGCCGTTAAACAACAAACTACCAGTGTCTCTAAAACAGTTCATAGAATTCTGATCCGATTTTAAACATGGCCGCCATTGAAAAAAAATGTTTGTTACTGAAAAACGTCATGTTTAATTCAGGGGTTAAAGCTCCCAAAATAAAATATCATTCACAGAAAACAACTCAAGTTTCGCTTGCACCGGTGGCCAAATAAGGTCTATGTATATTATGTAGATTTGTAACCGACTAAAGAAATATAATAATATAACACAATTGTTCACCCCTATCCATTCGGGTTTGAGAAATAAGAGTATTTTCTGACTGGCCTAGATACCATGTTTTGTCTCACCCTGACCTGATACAAACATCCAGTTCCAAACCGAATATTCGCGTGCGTGCGTGCGCGCGCTAGCCCACTGACATACCATGCCGCAGTTTAATATGAATACCCCACTCAGACACAGTGTACTGACTGAGCCTACCAGTCCTTGTTTTAGCCCCTTAAGGCCGAGTGCCAGGCAGCGTAACAAGAAGTACAAATCGTTTATCGTCTTTTGTTATGAAGCAGCCGGAGATCGCACCCCCGATCTTCCGCCCTCCGGGCAGACGCTCTACCCAAAAATAACGGAGGCAGTTAATGCCGAACGACCAAATGTTGAACGTCTTAATGTCATAATTTAGACATACTGTATATACTGTGAAAAAAAATACGCCATTGTGTTCTTATGGTAAAGTTGAAAATTTGTATCGTTCTATAGTGTTGAAGCTGTGTATAGCTGGTATAGTGTTGAAGCTGTGTATATCTGGAATAGTGTTAAAGCTGTGTATAGCTGGTATAGTGTTGAAGGTGTGTATATCTGGAATAGTGTTGAAGCTGTGTAAAGCAGGTGTAGTGTTGAAGCTGTGTATAGCTGGTGTAGTGTTGAAGCAGTGTCTATCTGGAATAGTGTTGAAGCTGTGTATAGCCGGTGTAGTGTTGAAGCTGTGTATAGCTGGTTTAAGTTGAAGCTGTGTATAGCTGGTATAGTGTTGAAGCTGTGTACAGCTGGTGTAGTGTTGAAGCTGTGTAAAGATGGTGTAGTGTTGAAGCTGTGTACAGCTGGTGTAGTGTTTAAGCTGTGTATAGATGGTAAGTGTTGAAGCTGTGTCTAGCTGGTATAGTGTTGAAGCTGTGTATAGCTGGTATAGTGTTGAAGCTGTGTATAGCTGGTGTAGTGTTGATGCTGTGTATAGCTGGTATAGTGTTGAAGCTGTGTATAGCCGGTGTAGTGTTGAAGATGTGTATAGCTGGTGTAATGTTGAAGCTGTGTATAGCTGGTATAGTGTTGAAGCCGTGTATAGCTGGCGTAGTGTTGAAGCTGTGTATAGCTGGTATAGTGTTGAAGCTGTGTATAGCTGGTGTAATGTTGAAGCTGTGTATAGCTGGTGTAATGTTGAAGCTGTGTATAGCTTGTATAGTGTTAAAGCTGTGTATAGCTGGTGCAGTGTTGAAGCTGTGCATAGCTGGTGTAATTTTGAAGCTGTTTATAGCTGGTATAGTGTTGAAGCTGTGTATAGCTTGTATAGTGTTGAAGCTGTGTATAGCTGGTGTAGTGTTGATGCTGTTTATAGCTTGTATAGTGATGAAGCTGTGCATCGCTGGTATAGTGTTGAAGCTGCGTATAGCTGGTATAGTGTTGAAGCTGTGT